GTTTACACAGAAATTAAAGATGGAATTTTAAATGCTGATTTTGAAGCCCCCCCTCCCCCCCACAACCACCAATTTGGGATTGTATGCAAACTAAGCTCACCTTACAAAATAACTTGGTGAACTTAACCCTTCCACTGCTATGGTCATACTTAAAAATAATAAAGCATCACTTGAAATTGAAGCTAGACTTAAAAATAGCATAATTGCTCACTGAATTTAAAAACAAGTTTCTTAATTCCATGAAAGCATCCCCAAGGTATATCACACATTAATGCATTATGGAAACAAAAAAGTAGTCATCAAGACCCTTATATGTACAGAGGCATCTCAATTGGATCCATTATAGTGAAAGTACTAATAAACATTGTATTAACTATGCTCTTACTGTTCGATGAAAGTCAACACCTCTCTTTAGTTTTCATTTTGGTAAGGGGTATAATGATGGTATATATGTTGTCAAACAAATGCAGGAAAGTGCATACCACTCCAATAGAAAATTGTATACCTGCTTTGTTGACCTCACAGCAGCATATTATCACATCAGTAGTGGCTTTCTCTTCTCAGACATTACAAGCCGCCTTCCAAGTGGTGACTCAACTGAACATCTTAATCTGATAGATGAACTAAATGAGTCCATAAAATTGTACATGTCCAATATGGAATCATTTCAAAATGAGAGTGCCAACCTACTTAATCTTTTTGTAACAATAGGGGTCAGTTGAGGTCTTGTTAAATTGAAAACAGTGAAACCTATCACAAAAATGGATAAGGATCATTTACTTTTGAGTGATGGTTATCAGTAAGTGGAATCAACTTCAAGAGGCTCAGACAGAGAGAAAGTCGCAGAAGGAAAAAAATTACTTTAGATGAAGATTACAAGACAAAGAAAATTGTGATTTACAAAACTAACCTTCTCACGAAAAGGCACACAGAAAGGACAAAACAGGCCACAGAGAATGGATAGGGTAGACAGCCACTGGATTGTGCATCTCCACCCCCTCCCTATGCATCATTTCCACTTTACTCGCTTATAGGAGTAGGTTACAAGTCCAAAATAAAATCTGGTTTACAGCTAAAAATTGTTTTGTTTTTCACTTGTGGGTAACAATCTGGCTAAATGGTAATTCTTAACCCACAAGCAGTTGACTGAAAGGAACTGCACCCTGTCAACAAACCTGGTGTCTGGTTTGAGTAGTAATGCAACATTTTCCTAAACTATGCATTGCGCATATACAAGCACAAACTTGAAGAGACAGGCACTGATCTATTAAGAATTCAATAACATATTCCAAACAAATTTCCTAATACAAAACAGCATTCTTGCTAGACGCTTGACCAATGTACTGATGATAATATAGGTATTCATAGTTGGGATAAGAATAATCTTGAACAAAACAAAAAAACAAAACATCTACCAAGTGTTCTAAGCAATAGGAAACGATGATAAAAATTTATGATGTGGAATTACTAAAAACCAAAGACTTCAAATAGCTCAGTGTATGGGTCAGTCATAATGAATTTGGTATAGGAGAAAAGAAAATCGAACATAAAATAGGTGAGGCTGTTTCACCAAACACTGGAAATTGCTACAAAACCAAAACATTAACCTAAAAACCATGGCTTTGAGTGAATGATGACTGTAACACTTAATGAGGATCATCCTTCTTTGAACCTCATGGACTGGCACTACAGAATCACAAAGAAAAAACTGTACCAGAAACCACATCACTTGAGGATCGCAGTTACTGAACAGCAGCAATAGCTAGAATGGATATCACATGAAACTTGAAGATAAAATAATGGCATAATGTTGACATTCCAAACTATTTCAAACAAAAGTTTAGGAAGAAAGCATCGCATCAATACTGGAAATGTTGGTCACACTTACTAAACTTGGGAAACCTAATTTCCTGAAAAAATGTTTTAAGAGAAAGATTTTATAAATTTCAATCGACAAGGCAAATTATTGGGTCAATGAATGCCAAATGATTTCTCTATAGAAACAGTTCATTACTACTTGTTAAAAATCAAAAGATTTGATAATCTGAACACAATCAGATAATGACCATTGTATGTAAAGCTATCAGCCAATTTTCATCAAGTGCTGTCAAGTTGTTCTTTTTATATGTAGACATGAGCAATTGAAATAACCTGCTTTCTTGCAGGTCTTGATGGCTAGCAAGATAACATCTGTTAAATCTTGTCTGAGCTCTTGACATGTGTGCTTATCATTTGAGTTGTTAAGACTAATATTTCTATCCTTGTTGGTTCTGTGGCCTTCTTTATTGTCTGAAATTTAAAAATCTGTCCAGACTAATATTCTCATGACTCTTACATCAATTAAGATGTCATAAAAATCAACAAAAATAAGATGACTCCTGAAAAATTTAATTTATTCATAGGCAGGCCTATTTGTAGGTTTGAATAAAATTTCAATGAGATAATGTTGGATTTCCTTTTGTGCAGACTACAAGAATAGTGTGTGCAGTGGGAAGAGTGTCAGAACTGTTCTATTGTTGTTGATACAAAATAAGCATTCCAATTTTCTGCATTTTTTGGAAAATAAGGAAGAGGATAAGTGAGGGAGAGTTTATCTGAAATTAAAGATAGCAAAGTTTCTTTACTCTCACATTTCATGACTTTTTAAAAAACCTAATCCAAGACAAATCTGAAGAGAAACAAGTTAATATAAAAAGAAAGTTATATATATTTGGTTGGATTGATGTGAGTTTGTGACCCTGGGTTTCACGCCTTTGCGATCGTTAGACAAATTGATTAATTTTTTAAAAATTTTGGATTTATGTAGATTGGGTTAGCATGAGTGATATCACGACGACGACACCCCCCCACTTCCATAATAACACCAATACACGCAATCTATATAAATCCAAAATTAAAAAAAAATGAATCAGTTTGTCTGACGATCGCAAAGGCGTGAAACCCAGTCACAAACTTACATCAATCCAACCAAATACGTTAGCTCTATCTCTGATATTGAGCGCTTTCTAATAAGTACCGCGCATATTTATATACACACACACACACATAAAATCTTTCTTTTGTTTATTATTTAGTTTAAACATCAGAATTAAATTTTTAGGACACTTTTTCTGCATTTTAGAACGTGTGCTGAACAATCTGCAGTACATTTTTAATTTTAACAGATTTTAAAGTAGTCTGTAGGTAATCAAAGATCTTTTTCTTTTTTAATCAAAATCACTAAGCAGCAATAACATGTGAGGATTTTTTCGCAACAAATTACTCAGTACTTATTTCGACTAACCGTATTACTTTGCTAGTTAATTTAATATAAGTGACAGATGGCTATATTGTTGATTATTGATATAATTTGTTTAAAAATAATGCATCGACTATTGTTTGCGTCACGTGGTAATAACTGCAAGTAAAAAAATTATTCACTAAAATAGGCAACTAAAAAAAAAAACGTTTTAAAAAAGTTCTCTGCAAATAGAGGCCTTGCAAGAAAAAAAAATGTCTTTTTTATTTTTAATGAATGGGTGAGAACAAAAACGACTAATGATTTAGCTACGTTATTCCTAACATGAAACGAAAATAAATGAATTCACCGTCGTGCAGTAAAGCTCAAATGAGCAAAAAGGTTACAAAAGTGGAGCACCGACGGAACGAAATCGAACTCTAACCGACTTTGAAGAGCTTGATTAAATTTAAAAAAAAAACCCACTGCTCTATAGTAAGCATTCTTTAATTAAAATAAAATTAATACAACTCTCACAACAAAGAAATGTTTACGAGTGTTTAAAAACGATACAGGTTATTTCTTTTCCTTCTCTAAGTAAACAATAACTCAGTTCAACAGATGATACGCAAATAAATAAGCGGAAAACAGGCACTAATTTCGCATTATTTATTTATTTTTCTACTACTATAGTTCACATTGCGAATTAAACTTCATTTTCGTAAACATTTTGACAGGATTTTAAAATGTTATTAAATTCATACGTTTTGAAAGCGTATAAAAAAAAAACCCTCTCTAAAACTTTCAGAAATCCATATAAATAATCACTAAACGAAATCGTACAGAAACCACGTGATCAAACACACTTCCGACGTTACACACCCAACAATCAGTACGAGGATCGAATGCTTACTAAGTCGGTTAGAATTGGCTTCAAAGATATTTTTTTGTGGGGTGTAAAATTCAGGAATGTGTTTATTTTATCTGTTTCTTATATGATTATAAAGAATATTATTGATAATATGATTTTTAAAAAATCGTTTCCATACGAAAACGTCAGCTGATTTCTGCGTGAAAAACAAACACACACAAAAAAACTGGTTTTTTGTTAAGATATTCTTAATGTACGTAAAAGAGACAAAAAAAAAATCAAAAATGGAAAAAAAACCCAACTGAAATGGATTTTTTAACGCTTAAAAGTTAAAACAAACAAACCAAAAAAAACAAAAACAACAAAAAAATACTAATATTAGCTTCATTCGCTAAGGAAATTTAATAGCATTTTACACGTTGAACAGGAAAAATAAATAAACCCCTAAAGAAAAAATAATTTAATTTCTAGTGAATTGGTAATTTAATCGGAATCCTGTCTGTTTAAGTGTACTAAAAAAGATAATGTAAAACAGGACTTAAAATCTGACTGATTTGCATTTGTTGAGTTTGAGTATACTCTTCATTTAAAATTAAGATACAAATTAAATATGAACAAAAATATTACTTCACATAGATCCCAATTAAGTCTTATTTTATAATAATGGCAAATCGAGATAAGTAATCAATATTTTAAATAATTATAATAGACTTCAGCTGTGTGGATGGAGTGTTTTTAAAAGACCGGATTCAATGTGGAGGAAAAAAAGAAAATAGCGACAAATATTTATCAGTCTCCATACAATAAGGACATATAAATATATAATTAATACGAAAATTTTAAATTTCTAAAGATTGTTCATGATATCATAATAAATATCACTTAGTTTAATTAAAATAAATTGCTTTTTACCTTGATGAATTTACCCGTTCAATGCTAGCAGGATGGCCGTCCCAACCTCTCTAATCGTATTTAATTTCTAACATAGGAGAGCGTAACACAGGTCGATATCATTTATCTCCCTTGAAACTGGTTGGATTTTTCAGTCCCAAGCATTTTCTCAAAACTTATCATTGATGATTTTTAAAAATAATGACTTTATGATATTACATTAAAAATATGCATACTGTGATTTTGGAAATTTAAAAAAATCCTGAAATAGTATTGTCAATGATTTTTAAATACAGGTTTTTTAACGTTAGCGAATATCATTAATGGCAGTTAATAAGTTTTATGCTTTTGATATTATTTGTGCAAAGTTGAGTGGGTGAAAGTTTGACCTTATAAAAATATTCAACTCACACACAAAAAAGGCAAAGAAGAAAGCAGATAAAATGTAAATCTAAAATTCATATATTATAGAAATTTAGAAAATTCTTTTTTTGTTTCTTTTAAGTCCTGTCTCTTATGAAGGCAAGTTTTTGTATAACAGGAAACAGATGCAACACAAGAAAATTTCTTAATGTTCTGTTTACCACTTTATGTGAACTAGCTACTTACTATATTTTATTTTATGGTGTGCACACATAGTATTAAACACAAGAAAAATCATGAATATGTAGATATTTGCAACAAAATAATATGCGTTACTTGTAGAGTATAAAATTTCTAATAACTTAAAAACCATACATTTTTAAAAGCTAAAACTTTGTTGATTAATAATTTTGATATATGTTTTACATTTAAAGTATATCATATTATTAATCTGCAAAGTTTCAGCTTTTAAGCATGTGTTGTTATAAAGTGTAATTTTAAGTTGGTAAACACTCTGTAAGGATATCATATCTTATTGATAATTTTCAATAAAAAGAAATTTTTTACTTTGAAACTGATTAGTTAATAGAATATGTTCTAATAATATGTTTGCTATAATTTGAATCTGTCTAATTTGTTCATTTTATCTAATCTTAATTTATACAGATTTTTAAATTTTTTCTTTATAAATGCTGCATATTGGCTGTTATATAACGATATTGTAGTGGTCACTGGATCGCCTTAACTAATTTATATTATGCAAATTACCACAAAATATGAAACAAGAAGAAGAAACACATTCAACAAGAGAAGTTGCACAAGTAAATGGAATTTATATATGCATAACAACAATTGTAGAAAACAGAAATTCAGTTGTGTTTGAAATGCTGAAATTTACTTGTCCTTGGAATTTTAAGTGAGGAAAATGTTCTTGTTGATAAAATGTGAAGTGTATTAAAAGGTGTGTGAGTTTGGAGAATTTTAGTAAGATGTAGTGTTACTTGTAGGAGAATTAAACAGTTTGAAAATTGTGTGAAAAATGTGTGTTATGTAAAGAGTTTCTGCCCTTGTAGTTGTAAATATAGACTGTAGTTGTGTCAAGGCATATAGTCAGGATTTCCGTTACTTATCTGCTTTTCGCCAAATCTTTTGTGATTCTCCAACTGCAACTATCAAAAACTGTTGTGTTTTTACTGTTATCAGAAGTGAATGTGTGTGTGTGTGTTTGCATGTGTGATGGTGTTTTCCCCAAAGGGAAAACTGCAAATTCTCCATAGATCTTTACATTGTTTGTACGTGAGAGTAGAAAAAAGAGATCGAGAGAAGATGTCACCAAGTATTTAGCAGTAATGGGAACCACATAGTAGGCTCCAGAACATGTTTACATTTTTTGGCACATTGTACTTTGAACAGGTCAAGTTGAGGTCAACTGTGCAGATGTAGGCGGAAACACTATATTATTATTCATGGACCAATCAGAATACATCAGTTGCTATATTTGATTTTGGAGCCTATATGTGTTTAGTTTGGATAGATTTGAGTTGAAAAAAGTAAATGTAGAAGTCTACTTCAACAATACCTCCCTACAGATAGAAAAATATTTTTCAATATGTAATCCGCAGTTTAAATTGTGTAAAATAGTTGTTTCTGTTTTTCTTTAAAGTCTCTGAGAGTCATAGAGAAATATCAAGAGAAATATATAGAGAAATGCTTTAAAAGCATTATTGCCAAGTTGAGAATTGTAATTTGATACTGTTCATTAAGTGGTCAAAAGAGTGGGCTTGTGGCGAGAGACAGTTGTATTTCATCTTGCTGGACAAGTAAACTGTTCTGAAGCATTTTGAAAATATTCTCATTATTTTAAATGTTCTTATAGGATCATGCACACACACATTAGCTCCACAAATTTCTTACGAAGTGAATGCATATTTTTTGCACACCTGATTAATCAAAAAATGTGGACAGGTTTTTATTTTTTAGAAAACGTGCATAAGTGTTTTTTGTATATTAAGAATTGTGCCAAAGTTGATCCAATTTTTCTCAAACTTTCCTTAATGGGAAATTGCATCATTTCCTATAGATATCTTGAAAATTATTTTTCTGGCACTGAACCAAATTCTGAGAGCCTATATTGGACATACTCCTAACAGATGAAGAG